TGACTAGGCTCTATTTCCATGGGGAGTCACGTTCATTCCTTACTAATTTTGATTAAATTCAGAATGACCAATATTAGGTCAAAATCCACACAGAAAAATTTTTGAGTAAGAGATTATCTTAAGTTTGAAATTCTGAGTAAGCAAAGGTACAGTTCAATCTTCATCAGAATTTACAGTATTATTGATTTCATAGACTTGAGACAAATATTAAATGAGTTAGTAATATGAGCAAATTTCCTAGCCCTATGCTTGCCTCATAGTAGCAGACAGTCAACAGCCCTTACTTTTCTCCCCACTGCCATGGTGTGGAAGAAAGAATGCAATACAGAATGGTGAGACAGCATCCCTAGATTCTAGTAGGAGCTATTAAATTAATTAATTGTGACACTGGGTAAGTCACTTAGGCCCTGTAGTGAACATTTGAATTGTCTTCAAAGTTTCTCCTCACTTGATAAACTTATGACTATTTGCACTTTTTTTTCTGATTCAGTTCTCTTCTAAACTTAACTTTAGCATAACATTGTATTTGTTACCCAAGAGGCACTGATTTTCCTATGGTGTTGGCCAGACTTCTGTGTAGAAAAGAGAGCAAGTTCCCAGGAATCTCTCTGCTCTCTGTCCCTTGAGGGACAAGAGGAGACCCTGGAAGGCATTCTGCTTCCCTGTAACAGTGACACAATTCTCTGTCACAGAGAGGTCAAATTTTATCTACTGTAGCATGAGCTGTGCTTCAGACTTCTGGGTTGCAGAATCAGCCCATAAGAATTCTACATTTGGCCCTTACACCCTCAGGGGATCTTTGGTCTTTGAAGTGCCAACCTTTAGGTGCCTTACAACAGGCCATGGACGTTGCTATCCCTGCCCTAGGATGTTTCCGGGCTAGGTGACTGGCCTCGTGGAGGAGTCACTGAATCCAGACTGATGTGTCTGAGGACACAGGGGTTTCTGGGAAAATAAATGGGCATTTGTAGCCTATGAGGTCCATGCCCCCAAGTGTAGAAATACTTATTTCTAAAATTGTGGAAGTCAGTTGGTTCTATATGGAAATTGAAAATAGAGAGTGTCAGTCCTCACTAATGGTATGTGCACAAATTCTATCCATGATGATCAAAACTCCCAGATTTAGAAGTCTCAAGGAATTGTGAAGAGCTGTCTGAGGAAGACTGTGACAAAATAAAAGTAATTTCTCTACAACTCAAAGACAGGATGGGGTGAATTCTGACAAACGCAGTGAACCTGCAAAATTGAATGGGCTGCTAAATCGACTGTGTCTAGCAAAAGGAAGCATGATCTCTAGCAATAAGTACAAATTCCCTAGAAATTAATTTTATTTTTATGGTTGACAGACTCATGTATTAAGGCCTGAGTACTGGATATATTGGATGGACTATTTCACACTATCCTTGTAAATGAGTTGGGCAAACAAGGATGGAGATTGCAGTAGTGAAGAGAATTTGCATAGGTCGAACAATTACATCAAAGTGTATGCTCTTCCACAGGGTTCTGGAGGACCTGGGGATAGAACTAGAGATGTTTCGCTTGAGAAAAGGTGGTGTTTCTGTTTCCCCCTCTTCTTGGGAGGGATAGGCATAGTAGCTGTTTTCAGATTTCTCACAGCTTTATCATCAAAGAGGAATTAGACATTCCCATGTCTCAAATAGGAAAATTTGAGATTGAATGAGACAAATTTTTCATAATACAAGAGAAAAGGTTTCTCTGTCAGTTAGCCTAACAGCACAGACTGTCTTTGGAGGTAGCAAATGTTACTATGCCATGATGAATTTAAGAAGATGCTGGTCATCTCTTAGACATTGTCCGGTGCCTGCTTACATCAAAGGGAAGCTGGACAAAGTAACTTCTTCTGGTCCTCTCTAAAATTTTTATACCGAGGTAACGTTGGAGAAGTTAGTGGTCAGGGTGCAACATCTTCCCCTATGTCATCCATCACAACTGAAGGAGCACAATAGGTTTTGTCATATAGGAAAGGCTTGCATTTCTAAGTGCCCAGATTGAGAGACAAACTGGAAATAAGGAAGCCTTCTGAAAACCACGAATAACAAGAATTTTCTAAAAGCATTATATTGTAAAATAAGCCACTAGAAAAGGAGAATATTTTATTTTTTTAAAAAGGCAATAGTTGTCAAATGTACCCAATCTAATCAGAATTGTGTCTGCCACATAATAACTTGAACTATGAATATCAAGTTTTCTCTCATTTTCTAGGAGCAGTCTGTCTGAAAGAGCCCTTTGCAAATAAAAGTAATTCTTTTCTCCTGTTCAAAGTTATCCACGAGCTTTCCTTTTTCTTCCTAGTCAGAGTGATGAAGGTTTTGATTCCCAGTTAGGAATTTAGTAGACTTTGAGTTCTGTTAATGAGCTATAATGGGAAGTGCAGTTCATATCATGACCCAGGATCATATACGTACTGTAAATGAAATCAAATATTTGAGCAGTAATACTTATATTTACATAATAGTATAATACTCTGAAACTTTCAACTCAATAATGAAATACTTTCCATTACCCACTAATTTCACAGGCTTTGCAGGGTGAAAAACACTACTGTAGTCAATATTTATAGTCACTGAAAAACTCAAATAATGGTGGAATTAATGAGAGAATGCAGGTCTTGTCACTGAGGGCATCTGACCAACTTGCTACCGAAAGAAAGGTAATGTTTGTGCAATTGCATGAAAAGTCCCGGGGTTTGCAGTACATTTCTGTATTACTCTCAGGTTCCTTTCTTCCTAGCTTTTCATCCTCCTCTCCCCCTCCTCCCAGAGAAAACTGTATACCCTTCGAAGCAGCCACTTGAAACATTAAATGCTGTGAGAGATAAATAGATAAACTGCATTCCTTCTGTGTATCTTAAAGCTTTACATCTAGAGAAGCAAGTTTTAGCCTAAAGCGTGTCTGTTTATGAGCACACACAGGTGACTGCTGATAATGGAATTGCTTATATATTGCTCAGAGGTGTTTGGGTAACCATTATTTTATTATCAGGCAGGCAAAAGCAGTCTTGAACATCAAAGTGGACACCTCCTGGAAGCTACATTTATTATAAAAGGCTAAAGTGTCCACATTCATAGGAATCAAAGGGACTTAAAACAGAAAGGCAGTTGGATTCAAAGACGAATGCAATTCTGGAGAGGACAGCAACCACCTAAGTAGGTGACAGGAACAAGAGGTAATTTAATTCTGAAAAGTACCGATTCTGCCAGCTTCTGGGGTGGCAAGGTGCCTGATATTGTGATAGCCACAACCAACCAGGGTCTGCCTGACAAACATTCCAATTGTCAGTGCAGGGACTGAGAATGCTTTTAAAATGTTCACCATTTGAAATCTCCTTGAGAGTTCTCTGAACCCTTTCTGCAGAAAGCAGGAGCTCCTCTTAGAAGGACATTGTAACCCAGTCCCGCTGCAGTATTTGAAAAGCCATCTTGGATGAATTCAAGCCCTTAACACATAGCAACCTCAGAAAGTAACAACTAGGCTGTGGCTATTCTGCCCGCTGCCATCCAATAAGAGTTTCGCTGTTTTTAAGGACCTTTTGTATCTTCCCCCAATCTGGCTCTAAATCCTCCCATCAGCCCCTTTGCCAGGAAGATACTCTGAAGAGTGTCTTTCCACTGGGCTGGTTTCAAGTGTTTAATAGAAACTCCTCCACTTAGATCACTAAACTTTTCTAATGGTTTTGAATATCCTTGAAATCTCGGCCAGAGCATTTGGAAAAGTAACAAAGGGCCTTCCTATTTCTTCTCAAAAACTCTCCAGCAATTTGAGAATTTGAAGAGGCCTAACCTCAGACATTTTGTGTGCTTAAGGAGAATACTTCATATTATTTTTATAAAAGAAGATTTCTATCCCTTTTTATCAGGCTAACGTCTTCTGAAATTCCCTTTGCTTTCCCAACAGTTTATCTTTCTAGAGACCAAAATCGGAGAAAATATTTTCCTGGTGTTTGTCAAATGATGATTGTAATTTAAAGCATTACTGTTGCAGAAGTGGTTTTGTATCTGGGAGCATCTCTACCGAAAACTTTTATAGCCCATATTATTAATGAAAAGACACTACTGATTGTAATGCTGTTAAAACAGACTCTTAGAGAGTATGCAAAGCCTTGGTCACATTTTTCCTGCACTGAGAATAATAGGTCAATAGTTTTAAATTTATAAATATTTTAATGAGATCAAAAGGTATAGTAATAAGGATGAGAGAACAGCATGCCTTGGGCAATCTATCAGCTAACTTTTGGAAAAAGCACATTATTTACCATTTATGGTTCAAATGGTTTATCAAAATAAGCTCCGTGTTGTGTTGTTTTCTTTTCCTCGATATGCACACATTTTTATACCCACACTAAAAAAAAAGAATTCAGCTTTATAGAAATCAATAGATTACTGTAAATTCTTATCTATGTAGGACTTAAATTAGCGGCGGGGTTATCATAGACTATTTCCTCTGGATACATCATTTTGATTGATTTCCCCGAGTAAGTTAGGAGGTCACCTGCTCCGGAGCACTGCTTTCCTCATAAAAGGGCAATTCCCGACAGGGTGAGAACATAGGCTTAAATTCTGTTTCATACGTTATATCATATCCCCCCAAAAGAAGAGTGAAGGAGTTAATTTAAACAATCCTCTAGGGAAAAGTAAAAAGAATTGAGAGAACTGGACTTAAGAAGAAAATATTTAAGAGAATATCAAAAGGAGACTAGCGTTCCTTCGCTGTGCATTTCTGTTAACCCTGCATTTCCCTGATAGTCACATAGCACACTCTCTCACGCTTGATGAAGGCCAAGAAGGGCAACCCATGCACCTAGGACCGCCTGTAATTTTTCTATAGAACATAGGTCTGCCCTTTCTCCAATGCTTTGCAATGGTTGCCACCTGTTTTATCCCATTTTATTAGAGATCATTTTTCTCATGGGTCCCAAGTTGACACCCTGCCATGAGTTCCCTGCCCTCTCTCCATGGGCCCCTCCCTCAGCTGCTACTCACTCAAAAGGGTCGCTGGGATCTGCCCTCTGGAGCTCTGGAGGGATGGGGATTCTTTTGTAGTACATTTCCCAGTCGAAGGCGCCTCGCATGGCGTCCCCAGCTTGCGCCTCATACCCAAAGTGATTGTGGTCAATGACATCGATCATGGGGCACACGATGGTTTTGTGGTTTAGTGCAATTTGGTCTGAAAAATGAAAGCACAAAATAGGAAATGACATGCCTGCCTAGGTCATCTATCATTTTTTCAGCAAAGAGAAGCCTACAGATCCCTCCTAATGCCTAATGCTTGTAGCTGGGTTTGAATGCAATCTGTTTGAATGCCAGACTCCCTGTGATGGGACAGTGATTAGGCAATACTAGTGTGCTGTTTTTTTCTTTTAACAAAGTTATGTCCCAGGGAGACTTGCAGAAGTCCATTTAGCTTTACCTTTGTCACATTTCTGCTCTGACCTGTCCCCAATCTGTCATTCTATAGTGCATCCAGCGTGTGTGGGATAGAAACAGTAACTCGTGTTCTTTCAAGCATACAGCTACAGCCTGCTGAGAAAATATTGGCCTGCTTTTGGGAGGTTCCAAAATGTAAATATTTAACTTGATGGCTTTTTCAGGATCTAATCTTACAGTGGCTATTGCCCCTAAATGCTGACAGTTCACATACAGAATTCTTTGCTCTCAGGCTTACAGAGATTTTGCCAAGTCCTATCTTGCTATGGTTTTCTTTTCTTTTTTTTTTGATATAGACTCTGTGTATCAAAGCTATACATTTTCATCTTCTCTCATCATATTAAAAAATATGTTAGATGGCCTGATACCACTGCTACTATTCCTGCTACTATGACATTCTCGAGCATCTATTAAGGGGTTTGAGCTCATGCTATTTCTAATCCTCCTTAGCAGTGCTCTAAAGTGGCTATTACTATCATTTCCAATTTACATATAGGAGGGAGCTGACCTCAGAGAAGTTAAGTAACTTGTCGGAGGTCACTTATTGTTTGAGAGCAAGAACCAGGCTGCAACTGCTGCGTAGTGGTCCCACCCTGAACGCTGGGGTCTTTGCTGTTTGCCTTCGTGCTTCTCATGCAGCAGGAAGCTGACATCTTCCTCAGTTCCAGCTCCTTTCTTTACATGTAGATTTTGGTATCATGAGATATTAACAGCTGGCCCAGGAAACTGGCGTTTGCTTATTTTGCTCACCTACTACAGCTACATGCAAAGTACTTTCTTTCCAAGAATGTGATTTAATCAAGATTTATTATAACAGATGAATACTGTCTGACAGGCAGAACTTTTAAGTTTGACCATCTGTTTTGTGGTTATGTGGAAGACCTGATGTGGCGTGTGGAATAAAACACACTTAAATATCTTTTAAAAAATCATACTGTTTAGAATTAATGAGGCCTGGCGATGTCAGGATCTTTATTTTGATGACACTGATAAGCCAGGGTGCGGAAAGCACAGAATCCTTTGAAAGATCTCCCCTTCACATCTGTGTGACTTTTCACTCATTCATTTGTTTGTCTGTTCATTCATTCATTCATTCATTCATTCAAACTCGACAGCTATTTATTAAATAGAGATTATTTGCCTGTCACTTCTCTAAGTTTTGCGACTATAGCAGTCAATAATAACCACAAAAATCCATGTCTTCAGGAATGGAACAAAGAAATCAATATACATAGTAAATAACGAAATCATATTGTGTGCTAGAAGGTGATAAATGTGATGGAAAGAAAATAAAAGAGGGTAAGGGGATGTGGAATGCTGACGTGCGGAAAGGGTTACAATTTTAGATAGCATGGTCTCAGGGAGTCTGGCGGTCACCTTCATCTTATTTTAGCCAATTAGAAGACAGAGAGGACCCCCAGCACTGTATCAAGTTAATCTTCACCAAGGGCTCTGTGAGCACCCACTTGCACCTGGGGGAGCCTTAGATGAACTTTAATCTTTATCTGAATGGTGCTCCCCCATACATGGCTTTGACAGAGGAGACTATCACTGCTGTGTCCAAAATATTTCTATCACAGCTGCAGGTATGTTAGTATTAAGGTTTCAGTGACTTTCTTCAGTCAAATTCAGAATCAGGTTGATTTACAAGTTCCTTGACCAGCAACGGGTCCCAAGGTGACCCAAAGAGAATGAGTCTGTTAAATTAACTGTCAACTTTCCCTTCAAATTTCCTTTCAGCTCTCATCCGGCTGTTACTAGCTTAGAGTGAAAGCAGCATGACTAATTTTTCATCTAAGACTTATGCCTACATTTCAATTTCCAGGGATCAAACAAACGGACTCTTAATGGGAAATTGAAATTCAGGTATAATCCCAAGGTGAAAAATGAACCAAGGATCTGTGTGACTCCTCCTGGTTTTTCATTTTGGATGATGTGTCAGGGCACTGATAAAGGAAAATAAAAAAAGATAGTGATCCTGAGCTGGAATCATTTCTTATCCATCAGGCCTACAGGAAATGAAATGCTTTAATGAGAAAAAGTGTTTTTTTTCCCTCTTCTTTTTCCCCCTGCTTTTTTTTTCTTGTTAGATTCATATGAACAATGAGAAGCTTGGTAACTGACATTTAGGGATTGCTCTGATTCATAAATAAGTTAGGTCCTTTGCTGACTTGAGTATTCAACACCATATGGATCAAATTCAGTTTAGGGAATCTCACTATTGCTGATGAAACTCTAAATTGCTATGTCCTTGGACAAGGCATTTTTAATGAAAAGCTCAGAGGAGCCTGTGGTTGCAGGAGTATCGAAACGTTCCCCTTGATTAGGATGGCTGGGCAATTGTCTGTGTTGGAGTGTGTGGATCGGATGGGCGATGTGGTTGGGGCATTAGCTGGCTGTTTCCTGTTCTTAATCCTGTATAGTTGCAATTGATTTTTTCTCCCATGTCTTTTACTAATGGCTCTTTGCTGGTTCTAGCTGAAATCCTGCCCAGTAGCCAATAGCAAATCATTCTTTCTGAGGCAGCTATTATGAGGGCAGTTGTTACTGGTTTTAGCTTTGAAGTCAGGGATATATTCACAATAAAAGTTGAATTAGTGAAATCTGGAAAAATAGGAAGGCGTACAATACGTGCCCGGCAGGAATTTTTAGAAACACATTTTTTTTTTCAGGCATACAATTTGTTTCCTATCTGCTACTGGATTTCATATCTGACTTCACTGTGAAATGTAAGATGACAGTCAAGCTCAAACGGAGCCACACACTCGTTTCCTACCTTGAAGGACTTCTCGGTTTTCTTTCCCTCATTCCTAATAGTTCAAGTGCGATGTGACAGAGAGAGTCTCTTTTCCTCCCTGTCGTCACGTGGTGAACAGTCAAGATGTATCATCTGGATAGCAGCCCTGAGTGTTGGAGGGGCTCTACCGAAACATGGGGCATCATGTATTCAGGGATCCAGGCTGGGGCCAGAAGTGGGAAGTGTTGGCGTCGTAAGTCCTAGAAAATGTCAGGGCACTCACAATTCGACTGTCTTCTGGGGCTGAATAATTTTCTTTCCTCCTATATTGATAATCCAGTAATAAATGCTAAACTGTTTATGTGTGCGAATTTTTGTGTGTGTGTGTGAATTTTGATCTTACTGTAGTTGTCAGTAGTATTTTTTACAATACTTTTTTTTCTTTTAGCATTTACCCAGTGGATACAATTGCAATCAAAGAGCCCATCTAAGATAAAGGAAACCTTTTCAGACCTTAGGATAGATAGCAGATGGTATTATCTACAAATGTCAACTTTAATGCAGTTTTCTAGTTACCTATTTGTCCTCAGCAGGGGTTAAGGCAGAATTTAAGGTTCCCACAGTACAAACTGAAGGGGGTGGGGGCAGTGATCTGTAGCCTTTGTTGATGGCAAACTAAGTGGAGGCAAACCACAGAGTCCCCAGGAAAGAGGGCAAACCCCGCCGCCCTCCTGACCCCAGGAGGCTGCGGGAAGTCGTGTACTCACTAAGCAGTGGGGGCAGCCAGTTCACGTTGACCTCGCAGTGGGAGTCCAGGAACGTCAGGACTTCTCCTCTGGCCATCGATGCCCCCAAGAGTCGGGTCCGGATGAGCCCTTCCCTTTTCTTGGTGCGAACAATCCTTACTTTGGAAAAGCGGGCCATATATTCTTCTAACTTATCCTTCAAGTGTTCTAGGAAGGAAGGGGAGAATGCACAGAAAGAACACGAAATGTTAGTTGCAGCAGAACCACTGACACGGGGTATTTACGCACAGAGGGAGTGTGAACGGTGAGTCGGAGCTTGTGTCCATTTTTTTTTCTCTCTCTTTGGTTCGGGAAGAGATGCTAAGATTTTATGCTGAGAGGGTTTTGTATTTTACAGTTTCCAAAACGCTCCACAAACCGCACACACTGCCATTGAACGCTGTGGCGGGCACAGACACGCCGGCGCTCTCCTGTGCAGTGACCGCTGGCCAGCTGCCACCGTGCTTGACCCTGCAGCACTGGCGAAAAGGACACTGGGACATCGCGACCTCCCGCCCTCAGCCCCTGCAGTCCGAGTCAGAAGAACATTCCAGCTTCTGGGTGGGCGCCTTTCAACAGGGGGCTCTTTCCAGCAAAGCCTTTGCCTAGTCATTTGTACTGATGAGGAGAAATTGCATTTCCAGAATGAAAAATGCCTTTGAATGCTCAGCCTGAAAAGTGAATTTTCTATTTTTTTGTGAGATTTTGATGATCATCATCTTGTATTTATTGCAAATTTAAAGAAAAAAGGTTTTGACCATCCATAAACAAACACATAGGGCGTTATAGTAGTATTCTTCTAACTTACCCTTCCTTGCCTTTCTCTGCTTTGAGACGGCAGCTGTGCAGAAGGCCCACCTCCGGTCCCCTCCCCTTGGCTTGCTTCTCCCCTACTACCCTCTGGGTAGGCTACAAAGAAAGATTCTGAAGGGCTGTGCAACACAGCACCACCCGTGAAAATGCCTGCAGCTTTAGTGTCTCGTCAGGAAAATAAAGTCGAGACCTGCCATCCAGTGGCTCAAAGTCAGTGGCTGAGTGATGAGTGGTGAAGAGTTCTGCGTGTTCCCCTGCCTTGAATGGCCTGCGTTCTGTCAGGACTCCCCGCAGTAATACATGTCTAAGAAACCTTTATCATCTCGTTACTGTCATCTACTCAGGCACTGGCATCTTCTGTATCACCAATGAACAAACAAGTGTCATTTTATAAGTTTGTTTGTAAAATCAGTTGTTGGGACTGCAGAACATATTGAATCATGAAAACTGTCGCGACAGTTATTGGGGAATGAAAATAGATCACAAACATTTGTTGAACCCACTGAAAGAGTTCTTTAAATCCTCATTGTTCCTTTGTCAAAGGTACCACTACATGCACCTTTGGCAGTCTGGCTGGGCACATTGCTTCTTCCTTCCTGAACCCTAAGGATGAACGGGGCCTCTCTTGGAGGAGGTGGGGGAGAGGAGGAATAATTCCCCGGAGCTGCAGAAGAGGAAGTGGCCCCAGATGGTGGTCGATTCCCAGGTGTTCTAAGTTGAGAACTGAGGAGCTCCTTCACCTGGGAGTGGTTGTTCCAACTTTGGATTCAGACTTCCACATGTTTTAGGTTTTAGGCAAGTCTCTGGCACTCAGTGGGGACTATGTCCACGTCCCTTTTCCTCGATGTACATTTTCTAATTATGCGCATTTTTATTTTACCGAAGCCCACACATGCAAGGGGACTGATGCCAAACAGAGCCCATGGAATGTTCCAATCAATTCCTCTAGTTTGAACTTCGTGGTAATAATAATTGGGTTGCTTTGCCTCGGAATAACAACCTAGCTGACTGCCCTTTTGAGGGGTACCTTATCTCCTAGTAGTTCAGTTGTAACATCTAATTACCCATAACTTCCAGTGAAGACAGGTGTCATCAGTCTAATTACCAAATTAGATGCTCATGCAAGGGAGCTGCTGGGGATGGTGGAGACGGTGTTCATTAAAAACACGGTGCATTTCTTTCCTATGAACAATTTTTAGATTCATTTCTAAGATACATGATATTTTTCCAAGCATTTTATAATTTTTAAGTCATCATGAAAGGGCATCTGTGAATAAATGAAAATAATCTGAATATAATTTATAGTTTACAATTACTCTGTTTATAGGAAGCTAGAATGGAAACTTAATATTTTCTAAGTAGAATCATAATGTACTTGTCTTTTTGTGATTGGCTTATCTCACTCAGTATATGTTGTCATGTGCATCAGAATTTCCTTGCTTTTCAAGGCTTAATGATATATTCCGTTGTATGTATATATCACATTTTGATTATTCATTCATCTGTCAGTGGGCATGTGGGTTGTGGCTACCTTTTGGCTATTGTGAATCATGCTATGATGAATATTCATATACAAATATCCCTCCAAGACTCCACCTTCCATTCTCTTGGATATATTCTTTAGCTATATGTACCCAGAAATGGAATTGCTAAATCATATGGTAATTGTATTTTTAATTTTTTTTAAAAGATTTTTATTTATTTATTTTTAGAGAGGGAAGGGAGGGAGATAGAGAGAGAGAGAGAGAGAGAGAGAGAGACATCAATGTGTGGTTGCTGGAGGTTCTGGCCTGCAACCCAGGAATGTACCCTGGCTGGGAATTGAACCTGGGACACTTTGGTTCCCAGCCCACGCTCAATCCACTGAGCTATGCCAGCCAGGGGGTATTTTTAATTTTTTTAGGAACCTTGGTATTGTTTCCCACAACAGCTGCACCATTTACATTCCTAAACTGGTGTCATCAGTTCTAAAGTCCTCGTGAACCCTTTGTAAAATGTGCATTTTGGTTGAATGTGGGAAAAAAAAAACAATTCTAGCAAATGCCTTGAGAACTACAAAAAAAATTTCCCAAAGCCACTCTTCCTAATTCACTAAATACCAGATTTTGTATAGAGAAAGAAAGTCTGAGTACTGACAATGACAAATACTTTCAACATAAAAAAGCAGCTTTCAAAGTTGGAAAACAGCACAAATACCAAAGTTTCAGGACTAACACTGTATAAGAAAAGCCCCTCCAGAACTTGTTTTTTTTTCCCCTCACTGCAAAGCAGAGTAATCAAGAACACCTTAGTTTCCAGTCTGAATAGGCCTTCCTTGCTGTGACAGACAGAGTGGGTAACATCTGGTTTACGCGTGTCCGTGACAACTCCGCTCTGCAAGCCTCGCCTCCTTTAACCTCAGGGGTGTGGCCTGCAGGCTGCACCCAGTGACCAGCCATCTGGCCTCTGCCCTCTCTCAGCCTTCCTTCTTCATCATAAATTATATCAGGGAACTAAATGCCACTTTATGATTGATTACCTTAATTAATTAATCCCTCCACATTTAGCAATATGTTTTTAATTATCCTCTTTCACTCTTCCAAGAAAACTCAGTCCTTATCTTCTGCAGTTCCCTTAATCTCTAAGGGTGTCAAAAATGTACATTGCATAAGATAGTCTATCTTGAGATATGGGGGCGGGGACATAAAACAGGAATTATCTTCTGGATGGTGAGCCCTGGTAGTAAAGGTTCACCCCACTAGGTGAGTGTCCTAGGAACCCATCTGTATCAGTGTACCAGCTGGCAGTGTTGTGAGAGGCTGCATTTGGCCTCAGTGAATTTTTTTGGAAGACTTTCAAAGCATTTGCTCATTTCATGATGGGTGATTCACAAACACACCTGTCCACAGTGCACTGAGTGTTCAGCAGTTTTTGACCAAAAAAGAGCATGACCCTCATGCCCAACCTCCCTATTCACTCCATCTTGCACCAAGCAACTTGTTTTTTCTTTTGCTAGATGAAAAAAGTCTCAAAGGAAAAAGTTTTGCTGACGTGAAAGACTTGAAACAAAAAATGGCAGAAGCACTAAAAAGCATCAAAATCAATCAGTTTAAAAATGATTTTGAGCAATGGAAAAAATGTCTCAATAGGTGTATGGCATCAAATGGAGAGTACTTTGAAGGTGACTGAAGCTAAAACACATAAGAATAAAGATACAATTTTTTTATAAATAAAAAATGTCAAAAGAACTAATATATTTACACTTTTACCCCCTGAAGTTTTCAATGGTAAAAGTCCCATTCATAAATTTCATGATTCTATGACTAATTCAATAACTTCCTGGTGTATTTTGTTGAACACCCTGTTATGTGATTTTTACACTGATTATTTTGTATTCCAACATTAGTACTACCATTAATTATTGAGTTTACTGTACCTGCACACACATTTATGCTCACATAAGTAGCATTTGATGAGCAAGTTTGACTCTTAATGACCTTCTCTAAAAATTAGAATTGAGTGAATTTTCCCCATAAAAATAATCAATTTTATGTAACTTGTTTTCTTAAGAAAAAAATCAAGATAAATGAAAATTCTGGGCAAAACAATTGCTAAGTAACATGAGCCACACCTGCAAGGCTATTAATAAGGTGAAGTCACAGCCTCCCAGTGAAACCAAATGCTGAATGTGACAAATTGGCAAGATACAGAGAATCTACCTCTGAATTTAAGGGATTCATAAAGGCATTGAACAATTTTTTTTTAAACTCAAAGTGAAGAAAAAAAGCTGGAATACTTGAGAAAGGGATAAATTGACCTTTAGCATTAGAAAAAGTGCACAAAATTCAGGTAGAGTAAAAACCAAAAACAAATACAAATAAGCTCTAAAATGCCACAGAACAGCACAGGTATCAAATGAAGGCAATAAAATCTGTGCCCTTTTGAAAGTACTTCCAATTCTGCATTTTTTCCAGTTTGGAAAGATGTTAGTGTAATTCACACATATATGCTAAAATCATTTTGTTTTTCTTCAGCTTCCTCCCAAGCATCCACTGGACCACAGGGTGGGAATGTTACATGGGTAGAGTAATAGGGACCCTTGTCTCAAATTAGCATGTGTGTGAGTGACTGAATTATGTCCCTGGTGAGCGCTGAAACAGCCATAAAGGCTTTTGGGGTTTGACTTGGCTTCACAATAAATAAAGATAAATTGATAAGAATTCCTCTAAACAGTTAGTGTGAGAACAATGCTGCGTCAAAATTCCAATTTAGATGAGACCAGAACTAAATGAAATATCTGGGAATTGGTCCTGTTCCCAAGGCTACGGAAAACTCCTAGTTTCTAATGATATTCTTGCACGGCGATATAGAAGGAG